CTTTCCCTAGAGCTTTCAACTACTGTAAACACTTGGTTCATTTATGCATAGACATCTGCTTAATTCACACAGTTCAATGTCACTTCTCAGGACACGTAAGGCAATGCAGGATCTCCAAAACAATCTCTTATCTCTAAGTTACTAAGCAGCAAACATTATCTAATCAATAAGCACAATACAAGAACAATACAACTCTATATATAATCACCAATCACATTTTTATAGACATTGACCATTCACAAGTAATATTTTTTCTTTAATAATGCAACATTTTATCAAAATTAATATGATGAACTGATTCAAGTCCACCTGTTTTTCCTTCTCTTAACCCTCAAAAATGTATCAAAGCTCAAAAAAAGGTTTGTTACAGAGAATAAAGCCTCTGTTAATACCACTAGTACTCAATATTGCTATGAACCGATTTGTTCGGCTCTCCTGAAAGAAACCTCCCTACTCACAGTCTAGAAAACATGTGGCAATTCTTGGGAGAATGTCAAGAATGCACTTTCTAAAAAGCAACATGAAAAGAAACCGAACTGTAAAATAAGATTAGGCAACAATGGCAGAAACATTGTGTTCCTGGCATCCTCACCTTCTGTGATGAAAATAAAATGTGAATTACTCAATTGCCACAGTGTGGCAGCTAAACAGGAGTGCTTAAAGACTGCATAGATCTCATTTTTAAAAATATAGCACTAGTTTTCTGAACAGAAAAATTGTGACCTTGTCCTGTAAGTTCCACAGAATATTCAGTTGCAAGTTTGTAACTGTCTTAACTGTAACAAAGGTCAGATGAAGCTTTTATAGTGCTAAAAATGCATTTCTAAATTAAGCTTTTTAAAATGGAACAAGCTTTTTCATATCTATTACTTGTATCTTCACATAAAGTTTTTAATTTGTAGTTTTAAAATAATTATTATAACTAAATCACTTACCTCCTTGCTCTATATCTGAATCTGTAAGGTGTGTAAGAGAAAAGCTTGCCATGTTTGCAGGAGAGATAGAGAATCTGGAATAAGGGGATGAATTTGACCAGTTCTGATCAAGAGTCCGGGAAGGTGGAGGTGGAGAGAAGTACTTTGATGACTGAAGAGGTGGTTTAGAACCAATAAGACTATTAGCTGCCTTCGATATAAAGGATGGCTCTGGAGACGAGAAGTCATCATCCCATTCAAAACCCCCACCTTGGGGACAAAAAAAAAAAGAGGAAATTTACAGTAATGTAAAGTCATACACAGTTTTAAAAGCAAGCCCCTGGAAGACTGCAGTAACCCTAAACAAAGCTTGTCAATTTTCTGTTCTAGTCCTGGTGGTCACAGACATTTGTCACCCATGGTTTGGGAGCCTCTCAAGATTCCCTGGACACATCAACACAAACAACCAGTATTACATCACAAGCTTTCACAATTGATAAAATTAAATGAGCCTAGCTAAAGTGTATGCTTGGGATGCAAAACTGAAGCCAGTAGGGTACAAGGAATTTACAGATCATATAATTTAAATGACATTTCATTAAAAACTACTCATGAAATGGTCTCAGCCCCTGCTGTGCATAAATATGTTTAAGTACCTTCTTCATCTGTTGAGCTTTCTGAATTTGCAAATCTGTTTAGGTAACCAAAACTGGAAGATGGGACAGGAGTGCTGTGAGAGCCTTCACCATTCAAGTCTGCTGCACGGTTTCCCAGCTCCTTAGTTGGTGTTTCCTAAGGCAAACAAAGCCACTTCTTTAACTCTTGCACACACGATGTATCCATGCCTAGCGATGCAAGCATTTAAAAAACACATTCTCCCACCCTCACCATCAGATCTCCTGTGGAATTGAATGGTCTGTAAAATCTAGTTATTACTACACATACAAAACTTCAAGTTATAGATCAAGTATATCCAAGTACTCCTATTTCTAAAGAAAGTGGTATCAAATCCATGCTAAAATGCATACAGGAAATGACTATTTAAATATTTTTTAGGATATATAAAAGTTTCATATTTCTAGAAACGAAGTTAAAACATCTTCCAATTGAAAACAGTTCCCTTATCAGCCTGACACAGGTAGGGTTTTTTTCTATTTAATAAAGCCTTATCCCATCTCCCAACATTATTTTTCTTAGTGTTTTTTTACCCCTTAATCACAGTTCAGGATAAAGAGACAGATTTTGTATGACCGATATTTGAAGAAGCCAACATTTTATCAGTTACTGTAATAAGTAGAGTTCAACAACTAAGAGCAGTTCAAACACTGCTAATATTTCTCCTTCCCTTCTGACAAAAGGATTACTATTCTACAGACTGCCTAAACACAAATATATCACCTACGTTTTCTATTCCAAAACACAACTATGTCTAATATTTATGGACGTCACCACACGCAACATTTCCGAAGCTCGACAACGTGACTGTTCTTTTAAACTCACTGTACTGGTTTAGTTGCCATAATGTTAAAATGAAAAATCCCCTCTGTATCAAATTACAGAAGTTAAATATTGATAAAGCAGATAGGGAAACAAAGGTAACCTTGCATGTTATAAGCAGATCAGTATTTTACTTTAGAGCTTTAATCACACTGGATTAATAAAAAGTAGCATTACCATCTAAATACTGTTTTCATATTTTGTTATGGTTTAAGGTAAATTCTACCTTAATGCTAACTGAATACATGATTCAGACTTAAGTGGCGGCTTGGTTTTTTGGTTTTGGAGGCTTTTTTCCTTCTTTTATAAAATAAAGGAATTGAATTTCAGGTCTTCAAAATCAATGAATAGAAACTGCATCTATAAAGTTGCAACAGCATTCTGGCAAAATTAACGAGTAAGATCTGGTCCATAATGATGCTGTTTCACATATTCAAATTAAATATAGCTTATATACATCAGAAAGACCTCACTAAAAAGACATTTCATTCAGAGCCAATCAAGGGTCCAAAACCAGTGGAGATTCAGGATTTGGCAACCAACTCTGACCAAAGCAAAACCCTTCTTCACTTCAAGCCAGGTGCTCCTATTCTACCAGCAGCACACAACTGCACCTAGCCAAGAAAAAATAAACCACAACACAAATGAGATCTAATCCTGCCAAGACACGAAAGGTGATCTTTTAACAATGTGTCCACAAATACTAAGCTATTCTGCCACATCTTGCTTTCAGAAAACCCCAAACCAACAAAAAAATTACTTAGAATTAAAAAAGGATACCTGATCAAACAAATAGACCGTCACATCATCAAAGAACGTTACAGCCTTCTTCTCATTTCTCCAACTCTCATGCTGCCTTTCATCAGGAGGTTTTGGAAGTTTCAACAAGCTTCTCAGATGTTTTGCATCATCTTTGTCAGTAAGTATCTCGGGTACTTGATGAACAGTTTCATCCTCACTGTCAGAACTCAGACTATGCATGTGAAAAGTCCTCATGTCATCCTCAGAATCACTGTTTTCATCTTCCTCATCTGCATCATCACCATCTTCTAAATCAAGCATTCCAGAAACATCGAGTTTGCCAAGGTATTTTCCTTCAATATCTGGCTCTTTCAGTTTTTGTCCTTCAAGGTGATAGAACAACTTCTCACTGTTACTCAGATCTAAAGGACTGTGTATGTTATACACAGACTTTAAGTCTCTGTGTGAAAGAAGTTCTGAAGTATTAGTGCCAACACAAGAGACTGCTTTATGGGAAGTCTCACATTGTTTTATTTCATCCCTTAGGTTACTTCCTACTGGTAATTTCAGAGAATTCAGAGTTGCCTCATCCCACTCATCAGGACACCCTTGCATCCTTACATCCATCTCTCGCATCTCTAAGTTGTGATTTAGTTCTAGTTTTGCATTTTGATTATTGGTATCCTGACAATTCCTTACATCACACTGCTGCTGCCTCTCTTCAAAACTGTAATCATCTTCAGTATTATTATCTCCTCCATTTGAAGAAACAACACATGAAGTCTCTCTTGCCAGATTTACAGTCTCCTCTGTTTTTTTATCTGGCTCAGAATCATTGTCAGAGAAATAGGCAGAATCTCTATATGAATTTTGACTTCCACCCAGAAAAACCTTTGGGCTTATTTCAAAATTGCTGTTCACTGCATCTAAACAAGCTGCTGCTTCTGAAACAATGATGACTGGGTTAGGAGGCAAAGCACTGACATTGCTCTCGCTGGCACGACAGAGAGCAGTATCTACACTAGAAGCATCCTCAACAGTGACATGAGAAGTCCATTCTGGAGATTCCAGGTTTTCTGTTTCATAGCCACTGTCAGCAGGTTTATCAGGTGGCAAAAGTTTCTGAGGGCTTTGAGCTTGTAAAGATTCTAAAACCTCATTTACATCTAAAGAATCCAAAGAATCAGGTGTCTCTAAAGCCTTTCCTACAGTTTGTATAGGAGATGGACTGTCTTCCAAAAAACTATCCTGACTTGTACAATCAGAAGTAGCAACAGAAAATAAGGTCACCTCTTCTGGGACATCCTTACAGTTCTCAAAATTATTTGATGTTTCTTGTATTTGCTCCAGTAAACATTCATCTTTTTTTAACAGAGGAGTTTTATCTTGCAAGTTTCCTTTTGTATCTTCCTGATCACTACATTTTTCTCTACTAAAAGTTATTTCATCAGACTTGAAAAGCACTCCTTGTTTTATCTCTGCATCACACTTGTCTGTTTCAACAGCAACATTGTAATATGGGTTGTTTCCAACATTACTATTTTTTGCATTATTAGATAGCTCTTCTTGAGAGAGAATATTGGTGTCACAGGACACAACTTCGTTGACTTGCACATTTAAAAGTTTTCCTTCACCCTTCAAATAAGGAAGATTTGCATGTTTATCACATGAATTAAGTGCTGAAGATGGACTAGAAGATGCCTCTGTGTCTACAGCAGTTTGAGAATTTGGATCTTTATTCACTGTCACTGGGTTAAAATTTTCATCTTTCACCATTTTAAGACTTTCATGGGTTAAAGAAATGACCTGTGCATTTTCAGCCAACACAGAGTCAGCCTCCACAGAGTTTCTATTTGAGGTTTCTAATATGCTTTTTAGAACATCTTCTTGTTTTTGCTCCAGACCACTGCTGGTTTTGTTAGACAATAACCCTGTTAATAAGTTTTTCTCTTGAAGAAACAAGAAATTATCAGAAAGTTCTTCTAAAGTTACAAAATCAGACTGGTTAGAGATATTTTCACATAAGGAAATGGTTTCGTTTTCAGAAGTATGACTAGAATGCTCCTTCTCAGAAAGACCTACTGCCTTTCCATCATCTGTGTTTAAAACAGTTGGTTTAAAGTCTTTAGGAGTATCATTTGTTTCAGCAAAACCAGCTATTTTTCTATTTGTCAATTCTTCTGACCTGTCAATGTCATTAAAGACATTCTGGAAAGGACTTTCTGGACTACTAGCAGCAGGCAAAGCTTCCTCTTTAGGATCTGTATTGTAGTGGAAGAAGTCCCCATCAGTGCTAGATTCTTCAACATCAAGGTCCCTGAGAACAGTGAAATGAGAACTTTTTTCTTGTACCGCTTCTTGATGATCAACTTCTGTAGTCAGAACAACTGACTGGTTGTCAAAATTCACGCTGCAGCCACTTCCTTTTTCCTCTAATTGGATATAGTAGTCATTTCCAACAGAAAGCTTGTGTGCATCAAACACAGGCAGCACCCCAGGGACAGCAAGTGATGCCCCTTGACCACTTCCATCCTGTGCTCCTGAACCTTGCTCTGAAAGGGACCTCTCAAAAACCTCCACTGGGAAGAAAATACTTGTGTATGTCATTGCTTCATCAGGATTCACATGACCACATTCATCAAAATGATCATGTTTAGCTGCCTCCCAGATATATTCAAAGCTGAGACCCTGGCTTGTTTCGGTTACAGTAAGTACTTCCTCCATCTCATGGCCAAGTCTATCTCCTGTAAAGTGATCTAAGATTGGAAATGCAGAATTATTTGTTTCTCTATTTGAGGTGTTTGGTTTAAGAGCATTCCACTGCTGTTCAAAATCAATCTCTGAGTCCCTTTGGCTCTGCATGCGAAGGTAAGTTAAAAGTCTATGCACTTCTTCTGCTGTTGGTCTTTTTTCTGGAGGTAGCCAGCAGAACTGCAGAACTTCATACCTAGACAAATAAGAAACATGTTTCATTCAATAGGCTTCACACTGAAAACGCATTTATAAAAAAAACAGATTTCTAACAAGCTAAGGAGTAACAATATCACTGGCACGACTTCTCATCTATAGAAACTCTTTTTGCTTTTATCTAGGGTTTCTTTGTCAGCAGCATGATTGCATGTACCAATTTCAGTATATTTAAGAGAACTGAGTAATTTGAGGAACAACTTCAGCAGATTTAACCATAAAAAAATAATTTAAAGCTTACCATCTATCAGAGTATGGCTGCTCCAGACGTGGCTTGAAGAGTTTAATCTGCTTCTCCTTTATGACATGGGTTAGGACTTCCCTGTCAGAGAACTCTGAGTAAGGCCGAGCAGCATTCTCAAACAGCTCCCACAAGGTGACACCAAGGGACCTGAAAAAGAGCAGCAAATGACAGTGCACTCTAAGAACCATTTACAGTTGCTTGTCTAAGAAAGTAAGAATTACACAAAGTATAACTGACAAGAAGAAAGAAACATCACTCTCCCACTGGCTATATACCAACTCCAGAACCTGTTAACTCGTTTTATTTGACAAGATGCTAGAAGCCTCAAGAATAAAGTTGCTTGAAGACAATGACCATGAAGACAACAAAATAAGAGGCCTCAAATGAGTCTATGGAAGAAATGTCCACATATTAAAAAAGTAAAAAATGCATATCTAGAGAAACAAGATGAAAAA